TCTCTCTCTCTCGCTCTCTGACATAAAAAACACAAAAAAGCAAAAAAACAAAAAAACAAAAAAACAACAAAGAACCAGTTCTCATACCCCAAGGACAGATGTGTGAGGAGGCTCCCCCCTGACACAAACTCAAAGACCAGGTAGTACGAGTTGGAAGTCTCCATGGCCTCGTAGATCCGTGCGATATTTGGGTGGCTCAAGCTCCGTAACAACAATGCCTCGCGCCGGAAGTGACGTCTTGCAGCTTCCCGGTATACCAGAGTCTTCTTGGTCACAGCTTTAATGGCTACCTGAAGAAATGAAATACAGTTGAAACGAGTCGTGATAGATTGTAACCCTAATATGGGTGCAAAATGCTATGGGAGTTGTTTTTTAATCTTTGAGCCATGCAACCCCCTCCCACCCTCAGGTCTTAATTTGACCTTCCAAGCAAATGAATAAATAATTGTTCATCCGTTCGTTTGCGAATAGATGTGTTACCAGCGAACCATTCGTTACTCGTGGACGATGAATTAGCGAGCCTGATCCAACACTAGCATTCATACACTGTTGGAGGAAACATTTCAAGGTTAAAACACCCCAGAGGTCTCGTGCGCACTAAAAAATTTCCTCTCGTACCACGCTGCGAAGTATGATGTCACTCACTCAGCATTGACAAGAGACAGACGGGGTGAAAATTAATCATTTGAATATTATTTGCAACCGTGCCACAAATGGGAAATTTCCTTGCGTTCGCATAGGCTATAACATAATAAGCAACACAATCATGATATAAAAGTAAAATCAGATGTCTGGCTGAAATTACGCCAATATCCTACACTGTTGTACCAGTCATGCCAGCAGGCACCGCCCCCTCAATAAATAGATCACATAGAAGGGGAAAGGGGCGTGTCTACCCTGTCTACCCTGTCCGCCCCCTCTAGCAGGTTTCTTGTGCAGAAGCTAAATCAGGCCTGGAGGCGGGCACAGGGGTTCAAGGGGTTAATAAGACATAATTTTGTTTATTTCCACTTGCTTATGTGGAGGGAAGAGAAGATAACATGAATATGATAAAATATTATGTTTGCATTCACAAACCACCTGCCGGCTTTCATCATGTTTGATTGTTGTCGCGCTTTGTTATCTGTTTTAACTCCCCTCTTACTTTGAAGATTTTGCTTTAAAACGACACTCTATTCTTTGCATAGATAGAAAGATAGATAGATAGACAGATAGATAGATAGATAGATAGATAGATAGATAGATAGATAGATA